ACCGCTCTAGCTCTAGTGAATCCTCTCACCCCCACACCTCTGGCCTACACCCCCGCTCTTGAAAGCATAAGTAAATTAAAAAAAAAAGCTATTGGTATAGCTGTGTATATCAATAAACAATATACTATTAATTACATGATTTAAAATTTTGTATAAATGGTATACTGTGTGTTTCTGGTAGATAATCAGTTCTTTTGTAGTGTACTGTGCTATATTGTAGAGGCTTTAAAGCTTAAAAAACTTCATTTCCCAGATTTCCTTGCAACTAAGTTTCTGGATTTGACTTAAATTCTGCCAGTCAATGAATTATGAAATTTGTAAGGCTAAATTAGGACAGAGGTCTCAATGTCTAGTCACTGGTTTTGAAGTTTTGTGAAGCAGGTCACATGGGATCCATGAGATTCTGGAGCTAAAAACAGAAGCCTAAACTGACAACAACACAAATGTCCATCAACAAGTGAATAAATAAACAATTTGTTATATAGTGGTATTGGAATATTACTCAATAATAAAAAGGAACAAATGTAGTGAAACCAAAAGATTCTACAGAAAAACTAGGAATAACAAATGAATATATAGCGACAGGATACAAAATCAATACACAAAAATCAGTGACATTTCTGTGTGCAAACAATGTATCAGAGGAAAGGGACATGAGGAATACATTTTCATTTACAATCATGCCAAAAAGTGACGTATCTGGGAATAAATTTAATGAAGGTGGTGAAGGAACTGTACAATGGAAACTATAAAACTCTTAAAAGGAAATAAATAAGACACCAAGAAATGGAAAGATAACCCATACTCATGGATTGGAAGAATTAACATCATTAAAGTGGCCATTACCCAAAGCAATTTATAGATTTAATGCAGTACCTATCAAAATACCCATGACTTTTTTTTAAGGAAATAGAACAAACAAATATCAAATATATATGGAACCACAAGGTGCCCCAAATAGCTAAAGTGTTAAGAGAAAAGAGGGAAAATGGAGGCATCATTCTTCTTGACTTCAAACAATATTACACAGTAAAGAGTAATCAAAACAGTATAACTACGGAACAAAAACAGAAATTCAGACCAGTGGAACATAATTGAAAGCCCAGCGATAAATCCATATAAATATGGACAGTTAATCTTTGACAAAGGAATTAAGGTCATACAATGGTTTTCCATTTTAAATAAATGCTGCTGGGAAACATGGATAGCCACATGCACAAAAATGAAGCAAGATCCAAATTTAACTCCATACACAAAAATAAATGCAAAATGGATTAAAGATTTAGACATAAGAACCAAAACCATAGAGTACTGAGAAGAAAATATAGGGGACACACTACAAGTTATCTACCACAGATGCACTAGGGAATATAACCCCACAGCAAGGTGATAAAACCCAGAACAAGTAAGTGGGACAATATCAAACTTAAAAGCTTTTGTACCGCAAAAGAAACCATTGCAAAAACAAGTAGGCAACCTATAGAATGGGGAAAAATATTTGCATACCATACACCTCGACAAGTCAGTCTCCAAAATTTACAAAGTACTTACATAATCCAAAAACAGAAACAAATGACACAATTAAAAAATAGGCAAAGAACCTTAATAGACACTTCTCTAAAGAAGACATTTATTCAGCTGGCCTACAGATATACAGAAAAATGTTCAACATCACTTACTATAAGAGAAATGCAAATTAAAACCACAGAGAGAAATCACTTGACCCCTGTGAGAATGGGCCATATAAAAAAGAACAGAATTAATAAATTTGGTGAAGTTGCAGTGAAAAAGAAACTCTCATCCACTGTTGGTGGGAATGCAAGCTGGTACAGCCCCTGTGGAAAACAGTATGGAGCTAGCTCAAGAACATAAAACTGGAAATTCTGTATGACTCAGCAATACTGCAAAAAGGCACGAGAGAGCTTTTTGGAATCATAAAAATGCCCTGTTGTAATGGTGGCAGTAGTTACTCACTGAATTGTACACTTAAAAATTGGTCAGTTTTATTGTATGTAAATGTTAAGTGATAAAGCAAATCAAAACAAAAAAAATAGTTAAACAATGATAACAGGGATAAAATCTGTTCAGGGGCAGAAGGAGACATACAGAAGCAAAAGGAGCTGGCAGGCAAATTTATCCCAGCTACCTGGATGGTAAAAAGATAAAGCCAAGGGCGTCCCTGTTGGTGCAAGGGGTTAAGCACTGTGGAGCACTGTGAAGCTGTCCTCAGCCTCTGCAGCACGTGTTCCATCACCGGCTGGCCAGGGAGCAGCCCACATGGCGCAGCAGACCTCTCCTGCCCCACCCACTGCTCCCTTCACAGTGTATTTCAGTCAGTCTGCCCGTTCTGCTCCCCACTCTGTCTCTGGTGAATCCTCTCACCCCCTACACCCCTGGCCTGTACCCCAGTTCTTGTATGCATAAATAAATCTTTAAAAAAAAAAAAAGATAAAGCCAAGTCTGCCAAAATAGAACTTTACAACATAACCTTGTTGTAATCCTTTCCCTCCATTCCTCTCTCTTAAACTCGGGATTTTTATTAATGTGCACTAATTTTTGAAAGTGTTATGTTATCGAATTGTCTGCTATGTAAATGTCAAATATTTGTTTTTATCCTTCTGACTTTGCTATACGAAATTCTCTCGAAAGCCTACATTCCGTCTTTGCTTATGGCTGTATAAAACTCCATGATGTGTATATGCCACATCTTCTTGATTCAATCGCCTACTTCCATGTCCTAATTATTGTTAACATTGCTGGTGTGAACATTGTGGAACATGTTGGGGTTTTTGTTGATTGTTTCATAGTCTATGAATATATGCCTAAAAAGAGGGTTGCTGGGTTTTATGGTACTTCCATTTTCAGTTTTATTTTTCAGGTGAATCCAGATTGCTTTCTTTAATGTTTGCATAGTTCACATTCTCACCAACAACATACTACATTTCCTTTTTCTCTTCATCCTTTCCAGCACTTGTGCTGTTCTCACAGGTGTGAGATGGTATCTCATGGTAGCTTTAATCTGTATCTTTTTTTTTTTTTTTTTAAACTTTTTTTTTTTTTTTTAAAGATTTATTTATTTATTTATACATGCACTGGGTACAGTCAGAAGCGCGGGAGGGTGAGAGAATTCACCAGAGCCAGAGCGGGGAGCAGAGCAGGCAGAAGGACCGAAGTGCACTGCTGAGGGGAGCAGCGGGCGGCAGGAGAGGTCTGCGCGCCATGTGGGACCCTCCTCCGGTGGCCGGGGATCGAACCGGCGCTGCAGAGGCTGCAGGCAGCTTCGCAACCCAGCGCTCAACCGCTGCGCCACCGGGGAGGCCCTAATCTGTATCTTTAATTGGAAGTAATGATGAACATTTTTTTCATATTCCGTGGCCTTCTGGATCTCCTTTATGAATTGTCTGTTTATATCTGCTGCCCATTTATTAACTGGATTTTTTCCATATATCTTGAATATAAATCCCCTATCAATTATATATTGTGTGAATATTTTCTCTCATTTAGTAGGATGCCTTCTATTTTCTTTCATTGCGTAGAAGCTTTTTAACTTGTGGTAATCCCAATTATTTTTTAATTCTCTTGCCATATGGGTTGAACCACCAAAAATATCTTTATTGTTGATATGGAACCTATTGCCAATGTTTTCTCCCATGTATTTTATTGTTGCAGGTCTTATATCTAAATATTTAATCCATTGGGAGTTTACTTTTGTGTATGGTTTCAGTGAGTGATCCAATTTCATTCTTTTATGTGTGGCTTTACAATTTGCCCAGCACCATTTTTTTTTTTTAATTTTTAAATTTTTTATTATTTATTTATTTATTTATTTATACAAGCACTGGGTACAGTCAGAAGTGTGGGAGGGTGAGAGAACCCGCCAGAGCCAGAGCCGGGAGCAGAGCAGGCAGAAGGACCGAAGCACACTGCTGAGGGGAGCAGGGGGCAGCAGGAGAGGTCTGCACGCCATGTGAGACCCTCCTCCAGTGCCCGGGGAGCAGCCGGGGATCGAACCGGTGCCGCAGAGGCTGCGGGCAGCTTCGCAACCCAGCCCTCAACCACTGCGCCACCAGGGAGGCCCCCCACCACCATTTGTTAAAGAGACTGTCTTTCCCCCATTTGTGGTCATGGATTCTTTATCATATGAGGTGCTGGTGTGTGCATGGATTTATTCCAGGGTTTTTTTTTTTTTTTTTTTTACAATTTGAGGCTTTTCATGATTCCATATAAAACATATTTTGATGGGGATTACTTTAAAATTGTATATCGTTTGAGCAGGGTGATCATTTTGATTGTATTGATTGTCCCCATTCATGAGCATGGACTATTCTTCCATCTCTTTATATCACTATTGAAGTTCTTTAGTAATCTTGTAATTCTCATTGTATAGATCTTTAACCTCCTTGGTTAGGTTGATTCTGAGGTATTTAATTCTTTCTGAAGCAACTATAAAGGCTACATATATTGAAAAGGATTTATTTCATCTGTGGTTTCTTAAATGGTGAGAGGCTATTTTCCTTTAAGCTACTAAACACTATGGGCAATACCATGACTCCAAGACTCTTTCTGCTGTTATCTTTAGAGGATAATAGGCATTACCTTCTAAGTGATAAGAACTTTGAGAAACAATACTATTGGGCCTCCCTGGTGGCCTAGGGGTTAAGTCTCAGTGCTGTCACCAATGAGGACTCTGTCTGATCCCTGGGCAGGGAGCTAAACCACATATGGCACAGCAGACCTCTCCTGTCTCACCCACTGCTCCCCTCAGCAGTGTATTTCAGTCACTTCGCCTGTTCTGCTCCCCACTCTGTCTCTGGTGAGTCCTCTCACCCCCTGCATCTCTGGCTACACCCCAGTTCTTCTAGGCAAAAATAAATAATGATCCTTTAAAAAAAATACTGTTACTTGAGACTTGGTTTAAAGGGCGGTAGTACTTTGTGGTTGGGGATAATAGGTGGGAGTGATTTATTGTTAACCTATTTTTAAAATTTTGTGTCTTTTAGATATTTGGATTTGAACTGTATTTTAGAATTCATCTACACTTAAAATGCCCCCAGCAGTTGGAGGTCCAGTTGGATACACCCCCCCAGATGGAGGATGGGGCTGGGCAGTGATAGTTGGAGCTTTCATTTCCATTGGCTTCTCTTACGCATTTGCCAAATCTATTACTGTGTTCTTCAAAGAAATTGAAGAGATATTCAATGCTACAAGTAGTGAAGTGTCTTGGATATCCTCTACTATGCTGGCTGTCATGTATGCCGGAGGTAAGTTCCCACTACAGCCTGCTTTTAAAATTTTTAAGTACCAGAGGCTTAGTTTGAGGTAACTTTTTTAATCTGTCATATTTAGTGAGCTGTTTCAAAAACATTATTTCTCAAAGCTTTATATTTAGAGTCACATTTTTCATTCCCTTCAACAATGACCACTTTTGCTGTTTGTGCTATTGTAGTATTCTGAGACAGAATGAAAAATTGTGAAGAACAACTCAGATTCATTGAGCTTAAAAAAGCTCAGAAAAATCACATGTGCACACCTGATTTTTCTCGTTGCTCTCTACTGGACTATTGAGATACAACATGAATACAGATTTTATAAAATGGATGTTGCAACAATTAGTCAAACCTGAATAGCATAAAGTATTAAGTAAAAAAAAAAAAGTATTAAGTAAAATCTTTTCATGGCTTTAGAATTAAAGAACTGAATAAACTTTTCCCCTTGTTCCTTGTGATGTTATGAGTTCTGAAAGCTTTCACCTGTACTCTGAACTTAAATTTCTCATTTCCCTCCCCTTTGGTGTGTAGGAATGTGGATAGTAAGTTGCTTATTTAAAGTCATTTAAAATAAAGTTAATTTCACCTTCGAAGATAATTCACGATTTAACACGTGAATAAAAATCTATATTACTTATATAACTAAAATAGATACCTAAAATATATAGGTTTTTTTTTTTTTAAGATTTATTTATTTATTTATACAAGCACTGGGTACAGTCAGAAGCGTGAGAGGTGAGAGAATTCACCAAAGCCAGAGCAGGGAGCAGAACAGGCAGAAGGACTGAAGTACACTGCTGAGGGGAGCAGTGGGCGGCAGGAGAGGTCTGCTGTGCCATGTGGGACCCTTGCCCGGCTGCCGGGGATCGAACCGGCACTGCAGAGGCTGCGGGCAGCTTCACAGCCCAGCGCTCAACCACTGCGCCACCAGGGGAGGCCCCCTAAAATATATAGTTGCTTAGCAGGAATTCTAAGGACAAGCATATTTATTTACTGGGATTGTCAGTGTTTCATGTTGTTTATTTAGCTAAGTCTTCACTTCTGTTAATCTTGTTTTTGTTGTCAGTTTAGTACACAGATTATTTTCACATATAGCTCTTTAATAGCCAATATAAAGTTCCTATTTTTCAACTGTAAATACTTTAGCCCTTTCTAAGCAGATAGCAGATTCAACCAATATTTATTGAGCACATATTCTGCAGCTGGGCTAGTTGTTCCAAGTGAGAGAGCTTGGTCCTTGCCATTGAGAAGTTTATCATTCTGTTGGGACAATAACATAAATATATGAAACAGGAATAAATAGTTGAAGTCATAATTTAAGTAGATAATTTCATCACACAGAAGAAACTAGTGATCTTGTTGCTTTAGAGAGAGATAAACTAGATGGCAGGGAAGAGTTTTTCCCCCCACTATATATGTTTCTGTGCCTTTTAACTTTTGAACATATGTCAGTTTTGTCTGTTAAGTGCTTTTTAAAGAGCATGGTGTTAGATTGTAGTATTTTTTTAAGTTCAGGGAAATCAAAAGGGACTTTGCAGGCTTTAAACTCCATTTGCCAGAATTTCCAACCAGGTTTTGACTATAGTTTGAAGAAATTGTTATAAACATTATCCAGAGGGGCCTCCCTGGTGGTGCAAGGGGTTAAGAACAGCACTATGAAGCTATCCGCAGCCTCTGCACAAGTTCGATCCCTGGCCATAGAGCTACCCACATGGTGCAGCAGACCTCTCCTGTCTCGCCCACTGCTCCCCTCAGCAGTGTATTTCAATCAGTCTGCCTGTTCTGTCTCTGGTGAATTTTCTCAGTCTCTGCACCTCTGGCCTATACCCCAGTTCTTGTATGCATAAATAAATAAATCTTTAAAAAATAAAAATAAATAGGGCCTCCCCTGGTGGCGCAGCGGTTGAGCGCTGGGCCACGAAGCTGCCTGCAGCCTCTGCAGCACCAATTCGATCCCCGGCCGCAGGGCGAGGGTCCCACACGGCGCGCAGACCTCTCCTGCCACCCGCTGCTCCCCTCAGCAGTGTACTTCGGTCCTTCTGCCTGCTCTGCTCCCCGCTCTGGCTCTGGCGAGTTCTCTCACCCTCCCGCGCTTCTGACTGTACCCAGTGCTTGTATAAATAAATAAAATAAAATAAATCTTTAAAAAAAAATTAATTAAAAAAATTAAATAAAAGTAAATATCCAGAGGTTCTCCAGTGCTCTGTGTATCTTTAAGCTGACTGCAAACCAAATTGTCACATGTTGCCAAAGAATTTGAGAGCCCCTTGCACTTTGCATGAAAAGTGAGTGAGGTCAGTTGTACTAACTGCACATGACACTTCCCTTTGGGAAAACAATTTCTTCTTTGTCCTTACCCAGAGTTAACTAGCACATTTCTCTGAGTTTGTGCTAGAATAGGACTGTAATGAATCGTACCTCTCTATTTTTAATGATAGCTAATTAGGGCCAGCTGTCCTAAAATAACTGAAAGACAAATTGCCTATCATGAGTCTTGCAGCAGAATTTTTCTTAAATGGTTTTTATTGACATGAAAATGATTTGTCCCCTAAGAATTATCATTTTAATTTGTGCATGAATACTAATATATTTGAATACTAATATATTTGAGATATGAGTGGTTAAGTTTTTTGTTTTGCTTTTTGTTTGTTTTTGTGCTTTGGTACAGATGATATAATCTGATGATATAGTTTAAGTATAATTTTTATCAGATCTCAGTTGCCTACTCCTGGTTTGTTATTTAAGTTTTTCCTTTTTTAACCTGAAAGTGTAAATTTATGTATTTCAGTTCCACAGAATGTTATTTAACACTACAAGTCTAGAATTTAAAATACTGCAAATGACAGCATTAATTTCCACTTCACAGGGTAAAACACTGTGCCTTTATTTTGATCCCTGTGATTCTAACTATAGAAAATGTTGTCATTAATGGAAATATTTAATGAATTTTCAGTATTTCATTTTTTTCATTTTATGCCAGCTATAAAATTCAGATTATTTCCAAATCATCTGTGGCCTAATATTTTTCAGAAATAACTTGGAAGGTCAATGAAAACTTTTTTATTCATATCCCTGATTGAGCCTGAAGTCTCCTCTGGCAGCCACTTATTAACTGAATCTGAGAGATAGACTTGGTCCTCTGAAACACTAGAATATCCAAAGCTTTTATGCCTTCTTGCATACATACATATATATTCATTATATAATTTGAATTTGGATTCCCTGTTAGGCTAGAGCCTATCTTTGTAATCTCAGTACACCATACTACAACGCTGAAAAGCATTTTCTGTAGTGTTTATGGAAATAGATCAAAAGTATAGTCTGAATATGTACATTCTATGTTTTTTTCTTTAAAGATTTATTTATTTACACAAGGACTGGGGTTCAGGCCAGAGGCGCGGGAGGGTGAGAGAATTCGCCAGAGACAGAGCGGGGAGCAGAACAGGCAGGAGACTGAAAACACTGCTGAGGGGAGCAGCAGGCAAGATAGGAGAGGTCTGCTGAGCCATGTGGATTGCTCCCTGGCCGTCCGGGAATCTAACCCATGCTGCAGAGGCTGTGCGGACAGCTTCACGGAGCTACGCTCAACCCACTGTGCCACCAGAAGGCCCCATTCTTTGTGTTTTTAAAGTAGTCTTAATAAGGCAGGGGACTGTAAATACAGCATATTATCTGTAGTTAGTAATGGCAGAATTGCATATTTGAAAGTTGCAAAGAGATATCTTAAGTCACCACAAGAAAAAAAAATTTATGATTGCGAATGGTGATGGATAGTAACTAGACTTACTGTGGGGATGGGGTAGTGAGACCAGCGCAGCACTCTGGTCCCCCTTCCCCTCGGATTTCTTTCCACTCTTTGAGTAACTTAGCTCCTGGGCTCCAGGGGCTCCTCTTGCCTGTCTTCACACTGCCCACTACCTAGGACCAGGCCACCACCTTTGCTGGGAGAAGACAGATTCCTTCCTATGTCTCTCTCCACGCAAGCCAGGATACCTCCTCTCTTTTTGCACTTGCCAGGAAAGTTAAGTTTGAAGAGGGGGAAGAAGACCCATGGACATGAAGAGGGGGATGCACTTGGAGCTGAGATAGCAGACCACAGCACCTGGTTCAGATCTTGGCCTAGGGAACTGCAAGTCAAATCACGGGAGAACTGAGGCTTTAACAACTGAATTTATGAATTTAGAGTACTTTAATAATGTTTTAAATCTCCTCAAATGACCTAAATGAACTCAGTGACAGTAGACTCTTTGGAGGGCTAGACGTGGTTATGTCTGAAAAGCCTGTTCAGCTGTGAAGTTATTGATCTGAAGGACTGCTGAGCCAGCATCTTCATGCTTCTGCCCCCGCTGACTGTGCTGTGTGGCTTCTACAGAAGCTAGTGTAGTCCCTGACTCCAATGTCAGGCAGATGGTGTAGATCAAGAGAATGATGATGGCAGAGGAGAGGATGATGCTGGTGAGGAGGAAGAGTGTGATGGGAAGGAAGATGAAACGAAGATGTAGCACAGGTGGAGGACAAGCCAGCGAAGATGATGAATTTGGACAGAAGAGGTTGATGAAGATATGATTATGAGCAGGAAGAAAGTGGGAATTGTGTAAAGGGGGAGAGAGAAACAGATGATGAAGGATAACATGATTAAGACCCCAAATCATCTCAACCTGAGGGGGTGGGGGGGAGAAAATATTGTTTAAAAAAAAAATTAAAAACAAAACCCAAATCAAGAGCAAAAAAAGAAGTGTTCGGTATTGGCTAGAGTGCTCACATGGATTTGATAGCTGCTTAACAGCAGGAAACAGCAGCTGTGATATAAACCCCAAGACACCCACCCATCCAAAAAGAGAGCCAGAGAATCCCTGTGACAGTCTGTCTTCCTCCATTTAGTCCTGCTTGGAAATCCACCATTACACTTGGGGACGTCTCCTCAACAAAATTTTAAGATTTGTTAAGTTTCTGTGTAAGAACTTGCCGTAGGGTGGATATTTGTGGTTAGTGAGTCAACAATATGTGACTGACTACCAGGTACACCAAGATCATAACCGTATTTTTTACTTTCTGTATAACAAAGTAGCTTAAATAAATAAATTTCTAACATTTGGGGTGGGAGAAGGAGATATACAATAATGATTTTTAGTATCTTTATTTTCCCGTATTCATATCTATGACTGTTCTTCCCGTTGCCTTTTGTTGTGTTTATTTTGAAGGACCTGTCATTTCCTGTCATTAATGCTTTGGGTAAATGTGGGGGAGTAGTTCCTTTCCTCTATACTACTAAGTCTCAGTTATCTCCTAGGTCCCATCAGCAGTGTCCTGGTGAATAAATACGGCAGTCGTCCCATCATGATGGCTGGTGGATGCTTGTCAGGCTGTGGCTTGATTGCAGCTTCTTTCTGTAACACTGTACAGGGACTTTATGTGTGTGTCGGAGTCATTGGAGGTGAGTTGCTATTGTTCATTTTTAAGCATTAATTTATTGCTGGCTATTTGATATTTACCCATATTCATCTTTGAAATCTCAAGTGAAGTTACTTATAGAAATTATCGGGCCTCCCCTGGTGGCACAGTGGTTGAGCGCTGGGCTGCGAGGCTGCCCGCAGCCTCTGCAGTGCAGGTTCGTTCCCCGGCCCCCGGGAGGGTCCCACCCCCCAAAAAAAAAAGAAAGAAAAGAAATTATTTATCATTTTGAAGAACCGTAAGTACGTTAAAAAGAAAAGCAAACTTTTAAAGAAATTGCTGTCATATGGTAAGTGTTCAATGTTGAATGAATGAATGAACTGAAGAGATCATTTTGTCCCTTGTCCCAAGAACAGTCAGTGGCGATAGATAAAACGTGTCCCATAGTGTAGCAAGAGTGGTTGTTGGTTATTATTCTCTCATTACTTCTTCCTGTGAGCCATGGGCTTCTATTGGAGCAGGAGAGTATTCAACATAAGGCAGAAATGATCTGATAAGAGTATTGCAATACATTACTAAGAGAGAGAGGATCCACTTGATAATCCCTTCCTTGCTTTTATTAATAGCCAAATTAAGATAATGAATTGATGATGAGTATCATAAGTGTTACTCATATATTCACAATCCAGTATATTACTTCACATGTCAACATATATATCCTTCCAGACTTTTATCTATATATCACTAGTATATTAAAAAGTATGACTATTTCTTAGGAAAAATATCAGATGATGTATTTTTGTAACTATTTTTTTTAATTAGTAGTATATCATGACCATCTGTCCATGACATTGAATATTCTGATAGAAATAACATTTAAAATCTCTTTTTCCATTATATAAGGATCCCAATTTTTATTTGAACAGTGACTTAGTTAATTGTTGAATATTTAGGGTTTTTGTTTTCCACATTTTTTACTATTAAGCAGTATTGATTACAATGATATTAGGATAAATTTGTAAAAGTGGAACTGCTTTGCTTTTTTAAAATACATTAAAACAAAATTGCCCTCTAGAAAGGCTATACTCATTTATAAATCCACCAGAATATATGAGCGAGGATAGATGCTTGATAACAATGGAATATTTGCTTTTGTAACTGTTACTGGTTGAAACAGTGAACCAGTATCTCCTGGTTTTAGTTTGGATCTCTTTAACTATTAGGAGAGTAAATATTGTTATGTTTGTAACTATGTATGTGTTTTGTTTTTGTTTTACAAAATATTTACCATTTTTGTGTATTCATTTTCTTATTGATTTAAGAATAATGTACAATAACTTGACACATTAAAATATCTCTTTCCAGAAGACATGAGTATATTTCCAAATTAATGTTCTCGTATTTAATTTGGTAAACACATAAATAGAATTTACTATGTTAACCATTTATAAGTGTTCAGTTTAGCGGTATTGTGTTCACGTTTTTCTGCAACCATCACCACCATCTATCTCCAGAGTCTTGCATATTGCAAAACTGAATTCTCTATCCATTAATCAGCAAACCGCCATTCTGCTTTGTCTCTGTGAATCTGATGACTCTAAATACCTCTCTTTTTGTGGCTAGTATAATGTCTTCAAAGTTCATATGTCAGAATGTCATTCCTTTTTAAGGTTAATATTCCGCTGTATGTGCATATATCACATTTATCTGTCCATTCTGTGGACACCTGAGTTGCTACACCTTCTAGCTATTGTGAATAATGCTGCTGTGAACATAAATTATATAAGTATCTGTTCTCAATTTTTTGCTGTTGAATTTTGTTTGAAAAGAATTTTTGATTTTAGTCTTTTTCCTCATTAAATATCTGTTATTATCAGGTATACAAAACTCAGTCTTCTCTGTACCTACCTGGGATACTATTCTTAGAAATAGTTTGTTCATTTGCTCAAACATTTATTGAGCAGCAACCACATGTACATTAGCTACTGTTCTGGGTATTATGGGGATAGAGCACAAGTCAGGCCAAGTCATGGAGAGGAGGCAGAGAGCACTTACCATAAGCATATCAATAAATAAGAAAAATGTCAGATAGTGATAAATGTTATTACAAAGTCTCAGAACACTGTTCTGACAGGAAAGGAGTGGGTAGTCAACAAGGGTAATGGCTCATGGAAGAGGTTACTTTAATAGAGATCGCAGTAGCAGTAGGGAACTAGCTTTCTGAAAACTTGGGGAATGTAGACCCTAACTCAGTAGCATGCTTATCACTCTGGGTGAGACTGGTCAAGTGGTGTGAGATCAAGGAGGTATATGAGGACCAGGGTGAATGTTAAGGATAGGAAACCATTAGCAGGTTGGAAATAGGGAAGTGACCTGCTCTGGTATATTGGTTTAAGCCTCTGTGAATAACTGAAACATATGTTGACAGGGAATCAGAGGGGGCCTGGGAGAGCATCTAGAAGTTGTTTGCATGTTTACTTATTCTAGCACTATTTATTGAGTGACACTTCAGGCAGAAATTTTGAATGTCACTTTTATCTTACATTGTTTCTTACATATTTCAAGTCTGTTCCTGAATTTTCTGTTGACTTTCATTGCTTGGTGTTTGTCTTGAGTCAGAGCAATACTGTTCTAATGATTATAGTTTTTAAATATCTATTGTTCTGAAAAAGTGTGAACCTCTATTTCTAATTCTTACACATTTTAAAGTAACTAATATTAAAGTAACTAATATGATTTAAAAATATTAAAAATATTTTTATGTGTGTGTTGAAAGGAAAAATTACCCGTTGTGGTTAGTCCTACTCCTTCTACTGCACCACCCAAAATTTACTGTTTGAAGCACATATGTTTGTTCTTCAAGTATATTTTAGAGTCAATTACCTCATCTCCAAAATGAAATACACTGACATTTTCATTGGAATTGCATTAACTTAATGCATTCACTTGGAGAGTATTGACATCTTGATAGTGCTGTGTTTTATTATCCAAAATCTTTGTGTGTGCATGTGTCGTAGGATCTTTAATTCTCCACACATTTTTTAGTTTTTGGTACCATTGTAGATGGAATAATTTTGTATTGCATTTTCTATTGTAGAACTGTTTTCTCTATTTCATAACTTTATTTAAGGATCTTCCCTGGTTCTAATATTGATCCTTCAGGTGACTTTGCTAGATTGACAAGTATTATTCACCTTCAAATAATATTACAATAATACAACTAATATTTACTGAGTGCTTACTACATGCCAGACACCATTCTAACAGCTTTACTCAGAACATTACTATGTGCCTTTTTTACAAATTAGGAAACAGCCTCAGGAGGGCCAACATTACACAGCGGTAAGTGGTAAGCTGACATTTGCAGTCAGATGCTCTGCCGTGTGCTAAGCCCCATACCAATGTTGACATTTGGGCGCAGGTGCTGTGGCTTAGAACCCACTTTTTACTACTACACAATGTCCTCTAATGAGGATTTTTGTCTCCTTTCAGTTATTTATACCTTTTATTTTAATATCTTTGGCTAGATAATTGCAAATGTATTTCTCATATTTACTACAGTACATGACTCTTTTTCCCTCTCCTTCCCAGGCCTTGGGCTTGCCTTCAACTTGAATCCTGCTCTGACCATGATTGGCAAGTATTTCTACAAAAAACGACCACTGGCAAATGGACTGGCTATGGCAGGCAGCCCCGTGTTCCTCTCTACCCTGGCCCCCCTCAATCAGGTTCTCTTTAATGTCTTTGGCTGGAGAGGAAGCTTCCTCATCCTTGGGGGCTTACTACTAAACTGCTGTGTAGCTGGATCGTTGATGCGACCAATAGGGCCCCCGCCAAGCAGCGTGGGGAAAGAGAAGTCTAAACAGTCCTTTCCGGAAGCTGGAAAATCTGATGCACATACAGATCTAATTGCAGGAAACCCCAAAGTAGAGAAACCATCAGTCTTCCAAAAAATTAATAAATTCCTGGACTTTTCCTTATTCAAGCACAGAGGTTTTTTGCTGTACCTCTCTGGAAATGTACTTATGTTTTTTGGACTGTTTGCTCCTTTGGTCTTTCTTAGTAACTATGGCAAGAGTCAACATTTCCCTAGTGAGAAGGCTGCCTTCCTTCTTTCCATTCTGGCTTTTGTTGACATGGTAGCCAGACCTTCTATGGGACTTTTAGCCAACACAAAGTGGGTAAGACCTCGAATTCAGTACTACTTTGCTGCTTCTTGTGTTGCAAATGGAGTGTGTCATATGCTAGTACCTTTCTCCACCACCTACGTTCAGTTCTGTGTCTATGCTGGATTCTTTGGATTTGCATTTGGATGGCTCAGCTCAGTATTGTTTGAAACACTGATGGACCTTGTTGGAGCTCAGAGGTTCTCCAGCGCCGTGGGGTTGGTGACCATTGTGGAATGCTGTCCTGTCCTCCTGGGACCACCGGTTTTAGGTACAGTATGTGTCCTTACCTCTGTGGGTTAGGGTTTTAGGTATAGTATATCTACTTTCCTCTATGCTAAGTTAACATAGAAGGCTGGAATAGAAGATTTTTAGGACAGTGGCAGAAAGTAGAGATCAGCAACCTTCTTGACGGTGAGGGGAATGCTTCCTCACTTGTGTGCCCTCAGTGCTGGCACGTATAGAATTGAATTAAAGTGAAGCATTGAGGGGCTCCCCGGTGGCACAGCAGTTAAAAGCGCTGGGCTGTGAAGCTGCCCACAGCCTCTGCAGCGCTGGTTCCATCCCTGCCCGCCAGGTGAGGGTCCCGCATGGTGCACAGACCTCTCCTGCCACCCACTGCTCCCCTCAGTAGTGTACTTCGGTCCCTCTGCCTGCTCTGCTCCCCGCTCTGGCTCTGGTGAATTCTCTCACCCTCCCGCGCTTCTGACTGTACCCAGTGCTTGTATAAATAAATAAATAAATCTTTAAAAAAATCAAATAAAGTGAAGCATTGAGTTGAAAGGGGAATGAAAAACTTGCAAATTTAAGTATTTATTAAAATATAATGTCCTAATCATAAAAATAACATGTTTATTGTATCAAAGTGTATAATATCATTCCACTTGTAAAATATTGTGGGTGATTTTAATTGTGGCATTTATCTCAGTAATAAAATTTAAATAACAGTAGCTAACGGGTAAAGGCCCCAGTAAGCTAAAATAACAATAGCTACCACAAGATTTTAGAGATCCAGTCATAGCTCACAAGTCTGTGAGGTAGAACTGTTACCATCCTCACTTTCCAAATGAAGAAATAGAAGCTTCTAAAAGTGAAAGTACTTGCCCAAGATCACACACAGCTAGTAAGAGACCATCAGACCTGATGGGTTCTTCTCTGAGAATACCGAATCACTTCTCTTTTAACGTGTTTATTATGTAAAATAATTGGGACTTCCTCTGGATATGACTCATGCTTTATGAGATGGGGCATAAAGCATGGTAAGCATGTGGTAAGGAAGGAGACTTAAAAGACGTACTGACTTTTGAAAACTCCCCACCCTCTCGCCTCCCTATGCCCAGTGAGATTCCAAGTCCTGCTAGTTTTCACCTCCTAAACCTCTTTCTCTCTAATCTGCCCACTTTCCCCCAGCACAAGTCCCGCCCTGTCCACGGTCCCCTCCGCTCTCTGGCAGGTCCTAACTCACCTTCTCACTGGGTCACCTGTATCCACTCTGGCTATTCTTGAGTTTTGGAACTCTCCACATGCTTTCCTCATTAAGCCGAAGCTCAGATACCCTAAGGTGACTACAGGCCACAGCACTGTCTTGGGAGCCTGAAATTAGCGCTATTGCTTTGGGCAAGACTCCTCAACTTCTCAAGCAACAATTTTTTCCATGGCATATTGAGAGGATTAATTCCAAATGATCTCTAGAACTTTCCAAATTCAAATTTGCCAAAATTTAATTTTTTTTTCAAGTTGCTGGAAATCACATACGTAGGGTTATCCAGAATCAAATGTGACATAAACAAGAGATTAGATCATTTTTAGCAGTTCATTTTTAGTCTGGTTTGTCATTTGTGGACTCTTGAAAGATTGGGTTGACATCATTCTGAGTGGATCCTTAGGTTTTATTTGGGAAAGTTAATTTTTTTACTTTTACCAACATAACTTTTTTTGGACACTTTTAGGTTATCTCAATGATAAGTTTGGAAACTACAAGTACACCTACTGGGCATGTGGCATCATCCTTATTGTCGCGGGCATTTATCTCTTCATTTGCATGGGCATCAATTATCGGCTTCTGGCAAAAGAACAGGAAGCAGAGAAGCAAAAAGAGGAGAATAAAGAGGAGGAGATCAGTATAGATATTGTTGACAAACCAAAAGAAGTGATTGATGCAGCAGAATCGCAAGAGCTGAAAATCACAGAAGGAAGCCCCAAAGAAGAGGAGAATCAAATCTGAGCCAGGGGGCCAAAAAGTAAATGGAGCAGCTTGTGACCCAAGATATCTAAAATATTCTGCAAGCCTGTAATCCACCATTGGTGCTCAATGCAAATGTGGACATTTGTGTGGACATCATGGCAAGTGTTCATTGATGGGATTTTTGTTTCACTCCTTCCCAGCAGCCTGAATTAAACATGACATGTCCTTTTAGGGAGGGAATGGTTGGCAAAGAATGAGGGAAGGAAGTCTTTTTTTCTTTTCTTTTCTTTTCTTTTTTTTTTTTTTTTGGTTAATTTTAGCTTTTAACAGTGTCATGAAGATTATAATATGTGCCTTAAGTTTAGTCTTTAGAACTCTTTAGGGGAGCCTTAATTTTTTAAACCATTCTACTGAATTCATCTATGTTAAGTGTTACATTAAAAGGAAAGCTAACTTATTTTGAGGCAAATCTAAAATTTAAAATAAATCTTGCTTCATTGTTATTTGTAATATATTGTCAGGCATTGTCACTGGAAGATTTCTGAGCAGAAATACTGGTTGAAAATTGGGGGTTATAAGACCCCACTAAAAGATCTCTTTGCATCATCAATAGTTGCCTGGCATATGGGCCTGCTAGCTATGTATTTAGGAAATTTAAATCATAAAACTTTGGAAACTTCTTGGCCATCCTAGACATATTGTACTTATCAGCACATCTCCAGTATCTTTTCATGGGATGCTTATTAGAAGCCAAGTGCTTGAGAATTGATATCATTAAATTACTAAATTACTGTTTTTGCTCCCCTTTTCAAAGAAACATCTTAGATGATTATAGATCACTTAGTATTATTTTTTCACTGTTAAAGTTTGTATTAAAATGTACCAAACTATATATTTGTGCCTCCTTAGAAAATACAACATATCTAATTAAATGTAGACAGCTATTTCAAATAGCAGCTGGAGTCACCTAAGGTTTTTCCAAATCCTCAGTAAAGCTATGAGAGTTGGAACTTATTGTTTGTTCTTCCTAGAATTTTGCCCTTCGATTTATGATGTTTCTCTTTATTTCTGCATCTATCTTAGAGCTGAGAGTATTGTGTGTGTGTGTGTGTGTGTGTGTGTGTGTGTGTGTGTGTGTGTGTTTTCCCCAATGTTTGCTAAAGAGGGATATGACCAATGAGGATAAGATTAGGAGGGAAGTTGCTAAGTATGCTTAATTTTAATAAATTTTTATTTTTTCTGAGGCCTTAAAGAAGTTAGAATTATGGACATATCCTTACTCTCCAGAGTTACCTAAAATTTTTGTGACCCTTTTCAATTACTAAAAAGTAAAGAGATGGATTCTGTTAAGGATAGGAGGGAGGATGGACTAGAATGAAAACTGTAAATTTTTTTAACTAATATCTTTTAATTGAAGCAGGAAGATAATGGTAAGACATTGAATGAACTATATATAGTCAATACATTTTAAAATATTGTAATTGACCTAACGAAAGTGTAGATAGGTACAAAACCTTGTGTAAGAGGCTGACTTTTTTAAATAAACATTTTTTTAGAAATGTTTCTTCAAATGTTTATTTTCTTGAGGAAAACATTTGTGTCTTTAGTTTTCATTATCGAGTTTCAGTTTGTCCCTTGCTGATATGAAATAATTCAGCTTTTTGTGCTCTGGGATTTGTTTATATACTTATTTTATTTTGATTTTCTTCCATTCTTCCTTAAGACAAACAGGAGAGGAATTTTGAAACCACCTCTCTAAAAGTGTTAGATACACCTCCATGAAAGGGAGGTGCCATTTTCCTTGCCCCCACTTACATGCTGCTGCCCAAGGCTACAAGTCCCATTATGCCATCAACTGGACTTCCTGAGTGGGGCAGCTACTGGTAACTAGGGGCAGAGCTGAGCAGCCATGTTTGCCTCATAAAAAGGAGGCAGGTGGGCCCATCTCTCTTGTTTCTGCAGCCTGACTTGCAGCCTGGTACTACTGGGAAGGAGACTTGCAGGAGAGGCATGGGGACCTGGAAGATATCTGTGGGTGAGACACATGAGGGAGGCTGTTCTTGGCAGAGACAATGGCAGCCATTGTCTTGATATATCTCCTGTCCCCACCTCTCTGGGACCTGCTTAACTAACCGCTTTCTTGTGAGAAGCCACAAGAAAGTACCTTAGACTCGTGACAGAATTTCAGGCCTTGTCTGCCCTGTTTCAAGCCAACCCTCTATGACTGGGCATTTGCCCATATGAGGATGGGTAATTTGGGAATTTTACTGGGAAACTATCATTAGAAGTGTCCTCTCTTTTCTCCCTTCTGTGCCTGTTAATTCTATTAAATATCTTTCACACTAAGAGTCTGCTTTTGCCTTTATGCACAAAAATGTCCAAATCCCTTTCAGAGCATGTACCCCTTGATAGTTTAGAACCCCTGGGTACCCTTCGGTCACATTCTAATAAAAGCATCCAGAGCAGTTACCCTTAAGGATACGATGCAAGCTCCATTTCTGTGCCTGAGTGTCATGGCAGATGGAGGAGGGCGCTGCTATGATTATTGGCAGCCTCAGCTTCAGTTTGGACTGTGCCATATTCTGTGGACTTAACATAACTTCTATGTGCTTTTCCCTTCTATAAAAATAAGGATTACCATGGGGGAGGTAATACAAGTAAAGGCAATGGTGGTGGTGTTTTTTAATATAAAGCAGGTGTGTAGTGTCATTTTTCCCATTCCAACTTAATTTTCATTCAGTAGTTGAAGCTTGTTTAGCTGAATGGTATGGACTCAAGTTCTGAAGTTGCTGTATTCAGAAACAAGGTTAAAAACTGGCTCAAGGCATCCCTCGTGGCACAGGGGTTAAAGTCTCAGCACTACCAAGCTATCACCAGCCATTGAGGCATGAGGGTCAGCCAGGGAGCTGACCCACATGGCACAGCAGACGTCTCCTGTCTCCTTCCCCACTGCTCCCCTCAGCAGTGTATTTCAGTCAGTCTGCCTGTTCTGCTCCCCACTCTGTCTCAGGTGAACCCTCTCACCTCCCGCACCTCTGGCCTAAACCCCTGTTCTTGTATGCATAAATAAGTAAAAATAAATTTTTTTAAGACTTATTTATATATTTATACAAGCACTGGGGTACAGTCAGAAGCGGGGAGGGTGAGAGAATTCACCAGAGCGGAGAGCAGAACAGGCAGACTGACAAAGTACACTGCTGAGGGGAGCAGCGGGCAGCAGGAGAGATCTGCACGCCTTGTGGGACCCTTGCCTGGCGGCTGGGGATCGAACCGGCACTGCAGAGGCTGCGGGCAGCTTCGCAACCCAGCGCTCAACTGCTGCACCACCAGGGAGGCCCAGTAAAAATAAATCTTAAAAAAAAAAAAAAAAAAAAAAAACTGGCTCAGAGCCAGAACTAAACCTTATCACTCAGTTTTCCCCACTGGAGCGACGAGCTTAAGGAATTTATTCAATATCAATTTTGGTAACAGCCAACACTAAAATCCAGTACAGGGCTACTCTGTGCCATTTCTTCCTTGGTAATCGGCTAATTCCGTGTTGCATTGTGTGCTGTGCTGGAAGCAGCTGGGTTTCCTAATCCAGTCTGTGTCCGCTTAGTCCTACGTTAAGTGACTGTTTTATTTATTGAATTTTTTTAAAGATTTATTTATTTATGCATACAAGAGCTGGGTGTAGGCCAGAGGTGAGGGGGGATGAGAGGATTCACCAGAGACAGAGTGGGGAGCAGAACAGGCGGATCTACTGAAACACACTGCTGAGGGGAGCAGTGGGTGAGACAGGAGAGGTCTGCTGTGCCATGTGGGTTGCTCCCTGGCGGGGAATCAAACTCGTGCAGCAGAAGATGCAGATTGCTTCATAGTGCTTAGACTTAACCTCTTGCACCAGCAGGGAGGACCCCTGTTCCACCACACTTTGTATATCCACCTTACTCCTTCCCAGCTGCTCCCCACTCAGCAAACCTGGTTCATGGCTACATAGAAGTGGGGGCAGGGGAAAAGGCGCCTGTTCCATGTTCCTCTCCCCTACCCCCTCTCACACTGGTGTATCTGTAACCACAGTAGGCTGCTATGGCTCAACAGCCTTCGAGGCACATCTTCAGTGGGATAGTATCTAAGTATTTGGTGAAATTTAACCAGGTACCACCATTCTTGTCACACCAAGTAGCTTTGTGACAGTAGCAAGAGCCTTTTTATTCTTAAATTCTGGATTTAGCGGCTGAATATTTCCCCTAGTACATGGCCTCTCTGGAAAACTGCAGATCAGGAATACCTGCCAATCCCTCTGACTAGGCCAGGGTTTCAGCTGCTTGAGTGTTCTGGCCTTGGGGTTACCTTCTCTACTTTTCCACCATCAGCCTTCTTGGCTTTAGGAATCCTCTCTTTAGTAGCTGACTTCTCAGCTTTCCCACCTGCCATCTCGCAAGCTGGGAAAGACAGCGAGAAGTTTAGATGTAAACATCAAAAGCAGCTTCTATCCGGCCTTCAGAGCCCCTCCCTGAAGTAAACCTTTTGCCAAAGACATGTTTTGGGGTGGCATATACTTGCTCCCCCACACAATCATGATTAAATCTTCTCTGTCCCTAGCAGTGTTCTTAGGTGTAAACTGAAAGATTGCTGTTTTTTCCCCCTACATCAGTGATGTGACTTAAATTATGTGTCTAGTACCATGAGTTCACCTGTTTTCCTTAAGAATTGCAGATATAAAACTTACATAAGAAAGTTATGTCTGTCTTTGCAGAACAAGTCCTTGAAAAATCCTAAAATGTGTATCCATAACTACTTAATGGGGGTTTTGAAGTCCTTATGCTATAAACATGGCACAATGTTAAATGAAAAAACACTATCATGACAGCTCACTCTGGAGACGCAACCATTCTGTGTGTGTATACATGTAGTTTTCACACAATATATACACACACACGCAAAGGGAAAAAGACATTTAAAAATGGGCTTATCACAGCCCTACCTGGTGGCGTAGGGGTTAAAGTCTCAGCCCTATCAAGCTATCAGCAGCCACCGTGGCACGGGTTCAGTCCATGTCCAGGGGAGCTAACCCACATGGCGCAGCAGACCGCTCCTGTCTCGCCCACTGCTCCCCCTCAGCAGTGTATTTCAGTAGATCCGCCTGTTCTGCTCCCCACTCCGTCTCTGGTGAAAACTCTCACACACACCCCCTGTAGTGGTGGGAAGGCACAAAGCAGGATCTCTGATCCTACGCAGATGGGTAAAGCAGGAGTCCTGGAGCCCTCGGTGGCTTTTTCAGATTTTATTGAGATTTTACCAGGTACAAGGCAGGCAGGGGGGCCAGGGGGCCAGGAGGCTGGCAGGCCTCCTAGACCCCGGCGAGTCTTCATTTTCTGGGCTCTCTGGTGGTCTCTCCTGGTTCTGCTCTTGTTCTCTCTCTCTCTTCTAGTCATTCCGTTCCTCTGGCGTCCCATGATGCCGCCTATAAGCCCCATCTCAGCCCAGGTGTACCCACCTTCATATGCCCATACCCTACTCCAGATGCCCGCCACCAGGCATGCATTCAGGACCGCAGGGATCCATCATCCATCCTAATGACATAAGGAAAAGCCTAACAATCATTTACACTACACCCTCCCCCCACCTCTGGCCTACCCCCAGTTCTTGTGTGCGTAAATAAAATAAATCTTTAAAAACAAACCAAAAAAACAGGCTTATCACTTTGTGAACATGGTAAAATTCAAGTTGATTTTTTCCTACATGTTTTCAATATTCTAAATTTTCCATATTTTAAATGTTTGCTTTTATACTAAAAGAAAAGTTTAATGTAGCACATTCTATGCTTTACAGAAGGAACAGGCTACATTTGATCTAGAAGAGTTCTGGCAAGAGACACATACCATAACTAAGAAAATGAAACTGATGATTATTACAAACAGATCATGTTTTTTGTCCCTCAAGACTTGCATCTGTTGAAAGGGAAGTGAATAGACATGGAAGTCAAGAGCACAGTGGTCTCAAGCTATGATTTTGCTGTTGCTGGACCAAAGATGTGGTGTGTGGAATCCAGGGGCAGCTTGTGCCTCCTGCCCAGAGCATCTCTTGGGGGCAGCATTTCTGTGGTTCCCCTTCTGGTCAATATTCAGCTGCAAATGAACATTTGACTCAGGATTCTGAGCATTCAGCACCTTCCTGAGACACAGTATTACTGTCTTAAACATTATCAGACTAAGAAATCATCAGAAAAGGATATACTGATGTCACCAAAAAAGTAGACTTTGTCCACACAGGTCTTTATTATTGGCTTCTTACTGTTACCCAAATCATGTTCTAGGCTGCAAATCCACCCATGAACAAAACATAGTATGTCTTCCCACACATCTAACTTTTTGTTGGGGAAGACAGTGAACAGTAACTTGTAAATACAGCAATGGATATGAGGTCTGTGCTCATTCATTCCATCTAAACAGTATTTTTGAGAGCATATTTACATGCCTGACTATTTGCTGGATAAGGGGCTAAAACAATGAACTTCCTGACATTCTCAGCTTGCAGTCTAGTGGGGAGGACTGTGCCCTAAATGCTGTGATGGGGCAGCACATGGGGAAGTCTCCATCCCCTCCCTGAGAGGGCCCAAAAAGAACAACAACAACAAAAAAAAAAACCCACTATATTCTTGAGCAAGTTCATTTCTCTGAGCCGCTGATAAAATTATTGTGAGGATTAAGTGCGAAAGTACACAGCATACTGTTGAGTGCATAGTAGTTTGAAAAATAGAATCATCATCTGCTTGAATATTCCATAGCGCAGTACTGGACATACCAGCTAAACCATCGGCCACAACAACAGAGAATAACTGGTGGCATCTGTGTGGCTCATCAGCGTACAAAGGCCTTTCAGGTACATTCTATCACCTGATTCATGCAAAACCCTGGAGAGGTGGGTATAATGAGAAGGGCCCCTCAGCTGGGCCTCCTTCCCTGCTATCAGAAGAGCACAAAACAAGATTGCAGACCTCTCTGTGGCTAAGCTAAATGGAGGGAAGTCTGGAAACACAAGAATGGAAGAGGCCAAAACCTGGTCATCTTAAAGGGTGAACGGTGACAAATCACTCTGGTCCTGCACAAACTTGGGTCCAATGGCCCTGACCCCAACAATCAAACTTACCATCCTCTTCCTTGGCTTTGGGATTTATAATGAGATTTTTTCACTTGTGGATTTCCTTTCCTAATGTGTTAACACTGATTCCAGAAATAAAAGTTTGTATTTCCTGAGCTTACTCTGGCCAAGTCCCAAGAGGAAGTGGCTAGCAGCCATGAAGAAGTCAGGAGGCAAACTGGGCTGGGATGCAAAATCACCTGGTGTGCTGACAATCTGTACGGACAAGGTTATCCAAAAAAGGTTT